CTAGTGAAACAGTAATTTTATTGTAGGAATTTTATGAGTAGAACACCATTGTTTGGAGTTAGAATTTTTCCAAATACGTAAAACTTCAGACTACTCAATTCACGCTTCATTCAAACAACCATGAAATAGTGGTTGTAAAAGTTATCCTGTCTACTTCTTTTATTTGTCTGGGTTTTGGTTGTTTGATGAACTGCAAGGAGATGAAGTATGAGTAACATTTTCGGTTTACGGGTTTTACTTCCGCTGAGGCTTCCTGGCACTCACTGCTTTCCGCCAACTTTGTAGAAGGTTCAAGTGTTTCCTTTATTGTTATCATTATATATATATATTTTTTTTGTTAGTTTGCTTGTCAGTGGTAAATTGTGACGTTTTGGATCAACTTTATTATCGCTGCCTTAGCTGGTTGGTATCACCACCTAACTCCGGTTATATCTTATGTGTGTGCGTGTGTGTATGGTGCTCAGGATATAGTTCAAAATATCACTCCCCCTAGCCTTCTGTTTAGGTTTACGCAACTCAGACGTTGTAATCTGTAAATTTGAATTTAAAAACAGTTTAGATAATTTAAATATAAGAATATTGAGATGATGCCTGAGTAATTAGAGGCCTCACTGTTTATGTGGGTCCTTGGTGGGTCAGAGATATGTATTCGGACTTACAACGCTAAAATTTGCGATTCTATTCTCTGCAATGTAGCTTTAGGCTAAAAAAGCCACCAACAACAACCACTTCATTAGAAACCACAATTGAATTACAGAATAAATAACGTCAAATTTTAACAATTCTTCAGTATGTCCTTTTACATACTTCGATAGGATTCTGAGCTCACTCTCAGTGGTCAATAATGAATTGCTTTTTCTGATTTTATTTTCAGATAATTTATGCTACTTACGAGTCAATCTAATTCATCTGTCTTTCTAACTAGCATCAAAAGTTACGCGACGTTGCAGCTCATACTCATCGGTCGTCAATAAAACAATATTATTTTTGGTTTGAAAATAATTTCTCTTACTTTTATCAAATGATAACAGATGAAAATGCAACCATACTTATTATGATTTTGTCAAGGTCTCTATAAGCGGTGACAATAATGCATCTGCTCTAGAGTTTCCGTATTGCAGACTAAGTAACATTTATATTCTTATTTAAAATGGGAGGTTACTTCAAAAAATGAAAGAATTCATACTTTAACTTCATGTGGTCTGTCACGAAAAGCGATGACAATTTATCGATTCTTCGAAAATGAAAATTGGACGAACATCTTTAACCACAGCTTATGTTTTGAAAATAAAAGGAATGGTTTCAAAGTACCCAAGATCTAAAACAGATCATTGGTCACATTGGAAACAAGCTATGTTTCCGTTAACAAGGAGATTCGTTTCATGCATGTTGTGAAATAGTTTGTAAGAAAAATGCAATTAACGATTACATTAGGATAAAGGAATTATTTAAAATACAAGCATTTCTGCTTTGATAATGCAGAAGTAAATGTATTTGTAAGATTGATTATGTAAATATTGATCCATCATACTTCTTGAAGTATATTGCAGTAGTAAGATGGAGATCCATCATACTCCTGAAAATGTATAGCAGTAGTAAGATGGAGATCCATCATACTCCTGAAAATGTATAGCAGTAGTAAGATGGAGATCATCATATTCCTTAAAATGTATTGCAGTAGTAAGATGGAGATCATCATATTCCTTAAAATGTATTGCAATAGTAAGATGGAGATCCATCATACTCCTTAAAATGTATAGCAGTAGTAAGATGGAGATCCATCATACTCCTGAAAATGTATAGCAGTAGTAAGATGTAGATCCATCATACTCCTTAAAATCTATAGCAGTAGTAAGATGGAGATCATCATATTCCTTAAAATGTATTGCAGTTGTAAGATGGAGATCCATCATGCTTCTTAAAATGTAGCAATAGAAAGATGGAGATCCAGCATACTCCTTAAAATCTATAGTAGTAGTAAGATGGAGAGCCATCATACTCCTTGAAATGTATAGCAGTAGTAAGATGGAACCCCTTATTGCTCAGCTGTAAGCTTGGGGGCTTGTAACGCTAGCATTTGGGGTTTGATCTCTACGGGGAACACGTCACAGATAATCCATTGGGCAGTTTGTGCTTAACAGTAAACAGTAAGATTGCTTAACTTACGTTAATACTACACTTGTAGTTTCTCCATCAATGAATAAAACTTTTCTTTTGTTGTTTGGGTAATACTTATAATACTTATTAGTGTTAACATACGTATTTGAGACGACATTTATGTCTCTGTAATAATAGTAACAAACATAGATGAAGCAATTGCATGTGATCATAGACTGGAATGAAACACTTCATACTCCTTATAAACTATTCAGGCTATACCAAACTTAAAACATCATTCACTGTTCCTCGCTGTCTTATCTCAAGCATAAGTGAAGCATTTCTTCAGTGTTACATCTCTTCTGTCAGTGTTTCACATTCATGTTTTTAGTTGTTTGTTATTTTGATATTTTAAGCAAGATGTAGCATAACCTTGGTTCTTTTTTTTCCGAAACCTTAAAAATACAGAAAATATATTTATTAGGGCTTGTAAAAAGCTTGTTTACAGCTCTTTCAAGCAAGGTAACAGACGTCAGAATGTGTTTGTACAAACGACAAAGTTGAATAAATTCTATGTTAATTATAACTGTATTAACATATATCTAAACATGTATTTATACAATAACTTTATTTACTTACTGTACGTTGCTTACTTGATAATTGCCTTAATATATTCAAACGTGTCTGTATACGATGTTTATTCATGAAATAAACCGTTAATCTAGATTTTAGATTCTTCTTGAGAAGTCAAGATGTTTCTGAATGAGTTGGCACTTTTGTGCTCTGCCCACCGCGGGTATCGAAACCTGATTTTTAATGTTATAAGCCCTCAGACTTACCGATGAACCATCGATGGGAGAGAGAAGGGGGGGCAAGATGTTTTTCAACGTTTCGTTATTCAATAAGTTCTTCTTGAAGCAAGATACTACTTTCATCTCTAAATGTTTCTAAATAAATTAGCTCTGTATTTGGGAAGCAATCTGGATTCTTCTAAAAGCCAAAAATTAGAAATGTATTAGTTTATCGATATGATGCTGTATCGTTAAATAATTTTCAAAATATGTCCTGTGATCATTTCCCAAATAAAAGTTATGTATGTTCTGAAAAAAAAAGACTGTTTTTTTATTAATTTTTCAATACAGATGGATAGTATTAATCTATAATTTTCGTGACTGTATTCGATTTTGTTCGCAACGTCTAACTCTACACGTTTTCCTAGGTTTAGTCTGCTACAAAGTGATATAAATACACCATGTTTAGTCTGCTACAAAGTGATATAAATACACCATGTTTAGTCTGCTACAAAGTGATATAAATACACCATGTTTAGTCTGCTACAAAGTGATATAAATACATTTAACTTTTCATAACCTTGTTTTTGTTTAATCAAATTTACTTCTTTTGTCTGCTTCCAACTCCAATAATTTATCAATATTGCTTTTACAGATAAATGTTCGTGCTTTTTATTGAATTTGCTATGAACTACGAAATTAAAACAGCTACACGTTTCTTCATACTTATAAGATACTAACTTCATACCACTGGACAGTATTTTCACTTCTCTTTGAACGTAGCTACAAATCATATTTACTTTTGACACCTAGATACTATTTGCCAACATGCTGTCTTCATTTCCCAACACAACCCACTGTTTACCTGCTTATGAACATGCTCACGTACCTTTTTTAATTTCTCGCCACTAACGGATGCTTCTACGCCATTATGAACATGTTTACATACCCTGTTTACTTCATACCACCAGACATTGATTTTCCGTCTTTATGAACATGTTCGCAGACTATATTTATTCCCCACCATTAAGCACTGTTTCTATCTCCTTATGAACAAGCCTTATGTACCCTATTTGTTTCATACCAGTAGAGATTGATTTTCCGTCTTTATGAACATGTTCGCAGACTATATTTATTCCCCACCATTAAGCACTGTTTCTATTTCAAAGCTAGTAGTGAGAAATAAAAGATAAATGTCGTTTTGTTCATAAGGAAGTGAAATCAATCTCTACTGGTATGAAACAAACAGGGTACATAAGACTTGTTCATAAGGAGATAGAAACAGTGCTTAATGGTGGGGAATAAATATAGTCTGCGAACATGTTCATAAAGACGGAAAATCAATCTTTACTGGTATGAAACAAACAGGGTACATAAGGCTTGTTCATAAGGAGTTCAAAGCTAGTAGTGAGAAATAAAAGATAAATGTCGTTTTGTTCATAAGGAAGTGAAATCAATCTCTACTGGTATGAAACAAACAGGGTACATAAGACTTGTTCATAAGGAGATAGAAACAGTGCTTAATGGTGGGGAATAAATATAGTCTGCGAACATGTTCATAAAGACGGAAAATCAATCTTTACTGGTATGAAACAAACAGGGTACATAAGGCTTGTTCATAAGGAGCTCCTTATGAACATGCTCACCAATACCATGGTTACATCTCACAGAAGCGACTGGCTTTACGTCTTTACGAACATGTTCATGCGCCATGTTTTTCTTCTCACCACTGATTATTTCATCTTACATTTTCGTGAATATTCCAATGAATCTTGAATAATTTTCATCATTATTTTTTAATAATGTGTAAACGTACCATTTTTGTTTCTTCTCAACCGTTAATTTAAACTCCCATGTATTTTTCATTTTTTTATATATGTAATTTAAATTCTATTGAAAAATAATAGAGAACGACATATGTTTTTCTAGCTCATGTTTGATTTAACTCCTGTTAAAACATTAGCATATGATGCTTGTTTCAATGTGTTATTAATATACAACGTATGCTTCTCAATTTGTTATATATCTCATAACTCGATATTAGCTTAATTTTATGAACTGATGAACCAGTTATTATAAAATGACTAAACCAAATCATATCCATACAATTTTCTTCCACAGCTTGTGTCTAACTGGATCGCTTTCATCTGTGTGAACACGGTTGGAATATTTGTCCACATCCTAATGGAACATGCGCAAAGAAGGGCTTTCTTGGACACTCGGAACTGTATTAACACTCGACTTGAGATGGAGGATGAAAACGAAAAGCTGGTAGGCATCAGAAGGGTGGGCTACAAAAATAGAAAACATGTGAACTGTATTTAAACTAATAATTTTCTTGTGACTTTCAAAAACATGCTAACCTGAACATAAAATAATTTAAGTTTAAAGTTTTCAATCTCCTAGATTTTGTCTTTCGACAAAATAGAAGAATAAACAATACAACTTATTTTCTTATAAACTGATATATCATATTATCATTACTACAAGTGACTCATTTTTTTAAACAATGTGCAATAATGTGTTAAACCTAGGAACGTCTTCTGCTGAGTGTTCTTCCCCAGCATGTTGCCATGGAGATGAAAGAAGATATTATCAGTCCTCGTGAAGGGCAATTTCACAAGATCTATATCCAGAGACACGAGAATGTGAGGTTAGTAAGATCACATTATATCGTAAGAGCAATAAAACTACTGTTAATGTTAGAACATTTTGTAAAGTCTACGATCTCGTTTTTGTGTATCGTATATTTTAATTTTTTTAGTCCTTATTGGTAAGTTGCCAATATATATATATATATATACATCCAGTTTCATATTACAGTGTTAGAAATTTTGGCATAAATCCCCTTATACAAAGAATGGGAAAAAAATCCTCGTAATTTTCCATACAAATACGTAGAATAAACAGCTTCAAACTTCAATGTTCATAATGAGAGTCCAATAAACTTATTTGATATAATATCAATAAAATAAAGATATAATATTCGTGTGGTATATTGAAATATTTGAGATGTGTAAATAATTAGAAGAAGTACTCTGTTATGTAAAACTTAAAACTTGTTTATTGTCGGATATACATCGTATAGTAACGTTTCACCAGGTTAACCTGGCTTCATCAGGTACAACAACTGCAAGGAGTGAACTCCCGATCTAGATAATACGAAAAACTAGGGAACGGATACATCGGTATTTGACTGGTTTACAACAGAACGTAAAAATGATGATGCAAATAGTCAAACAGTTAATGATAATTTTTTACACATGAGGAATCTTGATCATAAAACTAACTGAAAATCAGCCAAATTAATATATAAAACTGTAAATTATGCCAAAATAAATATTGTGGAAGGTTCGTTAATCCAAAGGTTACCAATCGTCAAACATCATTGAAGGTCATATGCCGTTAAAAGACTTGGAACTTCCGTTATAAAATATACACTGTATGGGTTTCTCTCAACAACCAATCATTGGACAGAAGAAGACACATGAATGTGTGAAAAATTTTTTAAAAATCAATTTAGTTTTGTTCCAAAATAGTGGTTCAAAATATTATCCTAGATTTTACCCGGTATTGTGTATTACATATTACCTGTTATTAGAATGTTAGTATTCTTATAATCGTTAAGAAAACCTCCATCAAAATAGGTTCATACATATCTTACATAAGGACATATGTGTTGGAAACGTAATTCTAATATATGCTAGGCATTTTCGATAGGTTGGCATAGTCTGATTGTGTTATGTTACAAATTAACCAGTTTTAAGTTTCAAGTATCAGATTATTTACTTTAATTATTTAGTTATTTCCTTTCAGAGGGTCCAGGAAGTCTTTGACAACTATAAGAGTCCTCCCTTTCGTTGTGCCTTGTTTTCACACCATGTTATCTTTAAGTAAGCACCTGCGTCGAACATATGGTCTCAACTGTAAATTCTGTTAGATACCTTCAAAAACAGACATTCGCACAGAAAAGCCAAAACTGGACATAAAATTTCTTAAGAAATGTCGAGATAACAGTTCCCACGGTTCCTAAACTGCACATTAACTCCTCAAAACGACCATTCTCAGGGGATTATCAACGTCATGCAATTCAAATTATTACGTAAACACCTGAAGAATTTGTCACAAAGCTGAAACATTTCGACCCATTCACCATTATTGTCAGTTGCGACGTGAAAAGTTTGTCCACACAAGTACCGGTTTCAGAACCAATGAATTGTACCCTTGATTATTACATAAACGACCCTTCTTTAAAATATTCACTTTCTTGTGAAATTGTGAAAACAAAATTCTCCATTTCACCACTTCTTATAACAACTTTCAATTCGAAGGTCTCAATTATGACCAGATCAAAAGATTAAACATGGGCAATCCCAGCACAGTCATGGTCAAAATTGAAGATCAAACTATTTCCACATCCCTTCATCCATCAATTTTCTGAGTAAAGTATCTTACTGACTTAAATGATTCCTCATCCATTGAAGAGTCACAACTGAACCTGGTCCACCCTGACATTAACTTTACCAGTGAAGTTGAAGGAAACCACACATTTCCATCCCTGAATGTTCTTGTTAAAAGACATGATAACAAGTTCCACACTACCATTTATCATAAGAATTTTCACACGGACTTATACGTACCTTGGAACTCCTACCATGATTTTTTTTCAAAACTTTGGCATCGTAAAAGCTCTGTATCAATCTATTGAGGCTATCTATTCCTGTAACGAACATTTTATTTCGGACTTCGACGAAATGAAAACAGAATTAGTAACCCAAATCGGTTTTTCCTCTAGAATCCGCTAACAAAGTCTCCTCTAACTTAATAAAAAAATCTGAACAGAAGTCTCAGTACAAGTCAAGTAATAATAAACGTCCTATTTATTGCACAATTTTTTTTTACCCCAAAAGAGTCACATCCAATCAGAAAGTTTTTGGAAAAAGTAATATTTATTTTAATCTCAAAATAGGGCAAGTTCTATGAAAAAAAAATACCAACATTCTGATTGGTTCCGTGTATCAAATAAATTGTGAACAAGAAGACGAGCGTTACATGTTTATGAACATATGTCCAAGTATAGTCATTCTTTCAAACTGACAATGTTGAAGTTCTTAATAGAAAAAAAAAAAAAAACACGTAAAAATCGCCGCAATTTAAAGGAAGCCTTAGTAATTAAACTACTTGAAACTAAAATTAATAATTATTCCGGTATAGAGTTGTGTATTTTTATAACCGCTGTTTAAAACTTCTAAAGTTGAATTGTTGTATACAGATGTTCCATCTTTTCTATTTTGAAGATGAATTTCTAACATAACACAACCAGACTATGTTAACCTGTCGAAAATGCCTAGCATATATTAGAAGTATGTTTCAAGCACGTATGTCACAATATAAGATATATATATGAAACTATTTTGTTGGAGGTTTACTTAACGATTATAAGAATACTAACATTTTAATA